TTGGTACAGCTAGCCGAATAGCGGCGAATGGGTTCATGTTTTCAGAAAAACCGTTTTTATTGAAATTTTTTCAGAGCTTTTGAGAGAGGAGCCTGATGATGTGAACAAAAGGGACTATGTGTATTTTCTTGCCTTAGCAAATGCGCGATTGAGGGTAAGTATTGTTTAACCTAGTCATCAATTATAACAAACTTTCTGTTGAAGAACTACGACAGAGCTTTGGCATACATTGATATTTTATTGGCTGCGGAGACTCACAATAGGCAAGCTTCGCAGCTTCGTGATATCATTGAGAAAAGAATGCAAAAAGGCGAGATTTTGTTTCCTCGTTGGAGTACAACAACAAATCAGTGTGTTCAGACGGACTGCTTGGCCTTGCTGTAATCGGTGGCGGCGCTTTGATCGTGACGGGCATTGTTGCCGCATTGTTTTCTGCTAGAAAATAAGACTGCGCTGGCCATTTTGAGAGCGGGATTTACTACTTCTTCTGGAGTAATTTTTCGATTGTAAATATTTGGTGTTGCCGTGCATGCATCTCCCCAATGTTTGGTGTGTACATCGCTCGTATGGTGTTGCTATTAGTTATTTCTGCACAGATGTATTTCTGGCTTTACTTTCGGTCCATACAATGTGGTTACACATTTGCCAGTATTCAACGTGATGAGTAAACATAACCATTTCAAATATGTGTCATCGTATCATTATTGAATGCTGAGTAGTTGCACAAAGTGTATAAATATATTGGACTCATGTCTTGATTCAAAACAAAGGAATTCTTTGAGCTGGTAGCGTGTTTTAGTTGCCATAGCGAGGGAAGCAATCATATTACGATGTGCGCACTTATTTCGGTGATTTTGATGATTGGTCCCTCAAAAACTGCGGCATTTGTCCGTTGTCATTTAAGGTAATCATGTGGTCTAGGTTGGAGATTATGGATGTGAATCACTAAACTTGCATAGTTTTTGAAAACGTCCTTTTGACCTTGTTTGCATAGCACCATTGAATGTGGAAGTATACGGCATAAATGTAGGAATACAAATTGTAAGCTTAATCTAAACATCTAAACTTCCGTTTTTTCCCCCTGAAAAAAATGACATAGGGTAAACAGTAAAAATTATTTATTGAAATCAAAAAGCACGCGTAGTACACAAACACCATTATGCACATCTTTCGGTATTCAGTGATTGCAAGAAATTATTCGAAAGTAAAATTCTACAGATCGATTATAATACATGTAAATTCGACTAGAATATAAGCAATAGCGCATATGACAATGTAGCAACATTGTAATCTGTTCAGGGGACATCGAAGGATACACCAACACAACCTTCCAAAATGGGGAAACAGATCTGTTGCAAGTTGAGCGACACTTACGTACGCGGAAGATTTTCAATGACCCATATGACTCTTTATGTGAGAAACAAGAGGACAAACAGTAAATTGAAAAAATGTTCAATTTTTTTAGTTTGTAAATGCAGGTGAAATTTCTATGCTGG